TAACGCGCTTGAAGATCAAATTCTTGTGATAATGAACAATACAAAACCACAGCAGGCATTTCGAAAGGTCAAGTAAAGATTAAGTATCAACCAATTAGCTAAGTAGCACATTACAAAGTATGGAACACTTTCTGGAGCGGACTCTTGGACATCATATGTAATTACTGAAAACAATATTAATAATTAATTTACTGGTTAAATTTAGCTGCCTGCGCATTTAAAAAACATTTTCTGCAACTGATTGTAAGAGAAAATTTAAAATCGGATGTTAATGGTAATAAACAATTAGAAGCGTCAAAGCAGCATTTGAAAGGATAAAGTCGCTTTAAATTTGATATCAAAAGGACAAAAGGGGTTTCTAGCGCACAAACTAATCACCAACACCAGGCATTTCTTTAAATTAATTATTCTTATTCTCATACATTGTCCAGATCTTTATCCGGCGGCTTGGCTAACCAAAGATACCTCAATGGTAAACAAATTGAGACGAAATAAAGGAACCAAGTGTCGAATCCACAAAAATTCTGCTAAGGTGGTTTTTTAGACTAGTAAAAAGGGATATGCAGTTGCCATAAGAGATTCCGATTGGAGATAGGTCAAGCCTAGCAATGCATTATTAAAGGTGACGATCAACAGGAGTTTGCAGAATACGAGAAGGATGTAATATAACAGGCTATAATCAAAATTTATTAGATTTGAAGCCTAGCACATAAAATCCGCAATATACTTTGTATTTTAAAAGTTCTACATATACTGCTTGTCCGGAGGATTAAAAACCCCACGGTTACATATGCCCTTATCTATTATCTTTTCGAATAGATCTTCTAGGATCATCAGCCAATATTTTAGTAGTTTCATATATGGCTAATTTTAAAAAAGTTCTCAAAAATACGATAGTATTCCAAATGAGGCACTTAATATAATGCATCTGAGTATACAGTGATCTAGCGGCTTGATTGGGTAAGAAAAGTTTCGGGAATAAATGATTCTCTAAATAGTTCATGAGCACAGACATAAACCCATCTCAGCTAGATTAGGAAGAGGGTATTAAGATGAGACTTCACTAGAATCTCGTCGAGTAAGAAATTGAGGGAATAGTTATAAGATACATTTGTCAAGCAAAATTATATCGACTAAGCTCACAGATGCTTAGATTACCTAGGATATTTATTAGAAATTATTAAGATAATTAAGATCAACTAACCTTAAGTATTTTATCACCAAGTCGAAGGCCAGCAGCATATGCGAGCCCAGTTTCAGTAAGCCGGCTGATAAAGATGCCTAAGTCATTACCTCGGAACGGAGCTGAGCTATAACCACCAGCGATGGTGAGACCGAGACTGGCCTCAGGTTGTCGTTCTATTTGAATGTTGAGACGTATCTGTTGGGTAGATGGAGGCGGTCCAGGAACAGGTTGACTGAAATGACCAGAGGAAGCTGAAGAAGCGGCAGCAGCAGCTGCCATCATAAGAAGGGATTGCTGAAGATAATATAAAAGTAAAAAGAAAATAAGACATTAAGAAGTATAAAGAATAGAAAGAATAAGGACAACAAAAGTTAGATGTCTATGTATTAGAAAAAAGGATGGAAATTGGGATCGAGTAAAAAATCGCACATTTGAAGTATAATGGTAAATTTTAAATATGCACAAGTTAAAATAAATAATGCCAAGACAAAAGAAAGGCCTTCTAAATTAGGAAAAAAAACAGAGGACGAAAAAAATGGAGAAACAATAAGAAAAAGAGATAGAGCAGCTAAAAAAATATAATGCATGAATCTAGTGGTTGAAGAAATGTTAGCTACGTTTTTTAAAATGAATCAAGTGATGTTCGACACTAACTACTTCATATAAAAGAGATGGTGTTCACTACTTTACAGATGAAATGTTTTACAGATTAAGATTTAATTTTTAAATCAAGTCCCAGAATTCAATTAAATAAATCTTGGAAGGCCATATTCTTGTAAAATGCTGTTGCAAAACCGAGCCTTTCTAGTCTACTGAAAAAAGTCA